TACCTTGCCTTTTTTTCTTTTCGCGGCCGACAGCGGGATCGCAACGGTGCATCGCGAACGTTCCCCGGACTGCCCGGATACTCGGCCGCGGGCGAACGGCCAACTGTCGAAAGGTGGTTCCCTCGCACCGTTTGCCGAAATGAGCGGGTGCGCGATTATCTCGTAAACCGCTCCATAAAACTTTAGGGGCTACCGGCATCATCATCCCTCGTCGAACGCGTGTTAACGGTGCAGCGGGCGCGGGCAAGGAAGAGAAAAAGAAAATGAGAACAGAGAGAGAGAGAGAGAGAAAGAGAGAGAGTGAGTGAGAAAGGGAGGAAAAAGAAATGAAGGAGGATAAGAGAGGACCCCTATGTCTCTCACATGAGAGAGAAGAAGGGCGTCGACCCCTCGACGCCGCCGACGAGAGCCGCGCGCTTCTCTCTCGAGGTTTACACGCCTAATAAATTACTGTAAACTGGAGCCCGGCCAGTGCGATGCGCGCGGAGAGTAGTTGGTTCTTTCTCTCTTTCTCTCTTTCTCGCGTCCCGGGATTCGCGCGAATAGCAGTTAAGCTGCGGCCGGTGATTTGTGCGATATCGTCCATCGTCCTTATCAGTCCTTGGAATCGGACGCGCGCCTCTGAATCTTCCTCTAGTAATTTTATCCCGGTTGAGGGTTCAAGTTGCGCATCTCCGACGAGGGGAATTCCGTTTCGCCAAACGGACGATCCGCGTCGGGGCGATACTCTAATGACACCCTCTTCCTTTCGTTGCGCGAAACTAGAGCCGGGGAACTATCGCGACAATATCGCGATTGTAGTCGTGATAAGAGTCACAATTTTTTGCTCAATTCCTTGAATATTGATCTGTCGGATTTTACATTGAAATAAGTGGCTGTAACCTCGAAAAAATAATGAGTCTCACCAATGAAATAAAAAATGTTAAGGATCATCTCGTGCACTTTGATTCGAGACGTATTAGACCACGCATTGGAGGATTGCGAATTGGAAATTTTTTTAATATGAAATTTATTATTAGAATTCAACCAATTGAAATGAAAATTATTTGATTGATCAAATTTTAATTTTCAATTCTTGAATTTCCAATGTGTAGTCTGATACGGGCTTTACACGCGACTTCTTATCGTGTTTCTTATCCGACTCTCGAATGTCTCCCTTTTTTCTTTCGCGGGAATCGCACAACTCCTTGCGAAAACATTAGTGCACGAGAAAAATATATTCAGTGCGCTTTTTACTCGGGCGGGGAAAGCTGATTACGATGATGTACAGTTGGCACACGCCTCCAATACATCCAGCTGCAACTTTGATGATTCTCCCTTCGACGAAAGCCAGGCTTCAGACTCTTTTTACCCGGTTCTTTCCGCGGCGGAAAATTACGAGTTGATGCGATGCAGGCGTACACGCGGAATCACGACGTGTGTTTAATCTGCGTGATACTAACTATCCCGGCATTCCCCGTTACCAAAATAAAAAGTATCCGAAGTATTGCCGTTGGCGGGATTCAATTTCGCCACGCAGATGACATCTACGTAACGAGCGTGCCTTTCTCTCATCCAACGATGAAAAGTCAAAATTCGATCGTTCGATTAAAGTCGCCTTGTCACGCTATTATATTACAGCGGCACGGAAAATCATGCGGTAATTGCTTAGAAGAAAGTGTATGACGAAATTCCTCATCGCGATCTCGTTAACTCTACGGATAATTGTCGCGCCGGACAGACGGAAGTCGAATGGCGAGTCGGATTATGTCATGCATGTCGGCGAAATCGCAACGTGGCTCCGCGCGACAACAATCCGGATCGGTGGTTGCGCTTAACTGCAGCTACAGCAGTGTTCGTGCATTTCACGCACGTGCGCCTCGCCGGACAAATGGGATTAAGCCAGATGACGAAAGTGTCCGGCCGACTCGGAATCGAGTGCCGCGCACCGCCGGCCGGTTGAAATTCCACAATGACGCGTAGGGAAAAGCAGCCGGGGCGGGACGAAGACAGAGAGCCAAGGAGGAAACGGCTTTTGTTCCGTAAAATAGTGAGATTTATCACGGCGCGCTGGTCGGAATTTAGATGACGCGAAATGAACAGCTTTGAATACTGAGAATCTTCAGGTTTCCCAAGCGAACTCCTCGCCGGGAAGAGTCCCGCGTTTCTGGTCCGATGGTTCATAAAATGACGAGCAAACGAAGCCGCCGGCCATAAGGAAAAGCAATCCCGCAGTTTTCACCGCGAGAAGGTGGAGACGAGAGGAAGGAGAGAGTGAGAGAGAGAGAGAGAGAGAGAGAGAGAGTTCAGAGCCGGGAAGGAAAGCCGCACGTCGCGCCGTCGTCGTATCCGCCAACGAGGGAAAACATACGGACGATAACGCCGCGTGACTTCTCGTTCGCTTCGGCGCAAACGGTCCGCTATTTGATCTGCATGCCCGCCCGGCGTTTTTTTTTTTGCCGTGGCGACCAATAGTAAACGTTCCGGCGACGTTTCCTTTATTATCACCGCGGAAGAACGGCCCGGGCCCCGGCGCGTTCTTGCCGAACGTTTAAAACGCGGAACTAATTCATCGCGAGGAACGTCTGGACCTCTGGGATGGTGCCGCGGTCTTTTTCACCATCCCCCACACGGTTTTACACCGCGTGAGAGTTACGTCGCGACGCTACGTGGCGAATTCGTGGGCGTGGAGTAACGTTTTCCCGGCTCGATTTACTGTTAGTACCGCGCGATGCATATGTAGCCAATCTCACGTCCGCTTCAAGTGCGAATTTATGACGCGGTCGACGCGAGGAGCTTGTATCCGCATACACGCGCCACTCCGCTCGGTTCAAAGTGTCCTCGACCTCCTGCTCGTTGAATAATGAGCGGCCCGTTCAGCGTCTGTCTCTAAAAAGTGCGATCGCTTGGAAACATTGCCAGAGAATGGAAAGAATTGCCGAAAAAGCACTTATTTTTTATCATTCGTCCTCTGTCCTCTGTCCGTTGTGATTCCGTGTACAGAGAGAAAAATATTGCAATTACTGTATTTCGATTATAAGGTATTTGTAGTATCAATATATTATATATTTGTTTAATAGAACTATTAAGTATTATTACTAACAATTGTAGAAATGGAGCTCCTAGTTATTAACCGTAATTATTTTACCATGCAATTATAGTCATAAATACGAAACACTTTTCTCTCAAAGTGATATCCCAGTGTTAAGAGTTTCAATTTCAAAGCCTTTCAAATGCTTGAGTGTGCGGCTGTCGAGTGGGCAAAGCGTAAAGAGAGAAGTCGAATAGCGGAGCCGGAAGGGAAAAGTGGCGGCAAATGCCGATGTGATCCAAAGCCGCTTCAAGGTCGGCGTGGGATCTAGGCAGAAGCTAGAAAACGTTTATCAGCACCTTGAACTCTCGCGCACCGTGAATCATCGACCGCGCTCCGCGCGAAATAATTTATTCGCACGCGGGAGTGTGACATTTCTGTCGCGTGAGTCGCCTGGGGACCGTTGATCGAGTAAGAGAAGAAAAAAAATACATGACGAAATTTTGTTAGCTGTGACGTCAATTCGGAGAACGTGTTTTCCCTCACGTATTTCACGATTCGTCAGAGGTTTGCAATCGGGCCGCGCGACGTGCGTAATCGCCTCGCGGACGTTCATTGACGAGATAGCAAGAGGCGAAAACGCGCATTAAATGCCAACTCTCTCTCTCGATCGAAGAGCTCGCAGCTCCGGCCACTTAACATGTCTGACTCATAATCGCCACGCATCGTCTCACCGATGACATTTTCATTAAAATACGAAGTGCGTTTATTAGAGGCCAGTTAGCGGCGAGTCGAGCGCGACACTGTCGTTCGGTGACGCCAATTTCACGTCCTGAAGAGGAGGACGAGGACGAAGAGGAGAACATGAAGACGACGAAGGAGAGACGGGAGACAGCGTACACGCGAGATCGGCGAGATGGAGTAGCGAGGGAGGGGAAGGGCGAGGAGAAATATGCCAATGTATTGAATAGCTGCTCGCGGGCGCGAAAGAACCAGGCGTCGTTAGCTGACGGTTCTCTCTTCAAGCTGTCGAGCCACCATCGAGCCTAAACATTCCCCACTTTACCTCCCGTCCATTCGATCTAATAGGTCCGCATTACCGCGCTTTATTGCCTCGTAATTTCCATTTCCGATGCCAGAAACCAATATAAGTCGCGGTGGATAGTGCGCACGCAGAAGAGCGGCGGCCTCCGCTGCGCAGCCGTGCCTCGCGACTTACTTCGCCACAAAGTGGTTTACGATTGAGACGAAAAAGAACGAGTCGGAGTATTAATCGTATGACGAAGAGGCTCTTCCCTTTCTCGAAAGAGAGAGAAAGAAGAGAGACAGTCTGCCTGTCCCCTTCAAGCGAGAGAGAAGGAGAAAGAGAAGAAGGAGAGAGAGAGAGAGAGAAGTCGAAGCATTATCATTTTTCTTGCAGCTTCTCGCACGTCCACGCGATCGCCAACGCAAACGCGAGCGTGAGCTCGATGGAGTCTATAACCTGTTCCGATGATTCCAGCCGGATGATCTCCACAACCGTTACCGTTCGCTCTGCCGAGCATAATTTACGTTCTACGCGCTGTCGACTATCGCACACGAGACCATAGGCCATTAAAAGAGAGGCTGCGTCAGTACCAATTCAAATAACATTAAACGCGAGACGTCCAAAAAAACGTCGAAAGGATGTCAAGAAGATATACGCTTTCGATTTTCATATTTTTTTTTTACTAGTTCTTGATTTCTACGTTAATTTTCTCGAGAAAAGTAACTCCAGTCGATTGCAAACCGAGAATTTTTTCATTTTGTGATATTAAATTATCGAGTCAAGTGGTTGTCGAATCAAAATGAGAAATGATGATTTTTGCAGTTATTCCGCTTTTCGGAATAATTCTCCGCGTGAGGAGGAACAATAAACGTCGGAGACCTGACTAATCGCAATTTCCTCAATGCAACCGGGTCGCAATAATCGTTTCGCATCAAACACAGTCGATCTAAGGAAAATCCTCACCTGGATAACCCTCCGGGATGACGATCTCCGGTCCCACCTTGACGTCATGCCGGTACCGGTGTATTAGTAGGCTCGCCGTGACTCTCAACGATCGCTGTTGCTGCTTGTACAGGAGCACCGGTCTGCCGCCGGTACCCTCGAGTCGGACGACCCTTGGTAACGAGAATCGATCCAGGAACTCCCGTAGCGGCATGTATCCGCCGCTGGAACCAGAACCGCCCTCGGCGGTGGCTTCTCTCGAGCTCGGCAGGGATTTCGGCAGCGACGGCATCTCCTCGCTGGACATCGTCGAGAATTCACCGTTCGACGACATGGTCTCACGCGTTTCGAAACGGCGTCACCGCGCGCACGGTTACGGAGAGCATCGAGCACTTCGGGCGAGAGCCGGTCGGAGGGTGTCGGAATCAAAAAACTGAGGTTGATTCGAGCGCGACAGTCCTCTCTCAGGATAACGCCGCGGAGCTCGTGGGCTTAGCGTCATTTAATCCCCGTGGTGGCGGAGCGAGCGCGACGCACGCTTTCGTGGGCATCTTCGCTGCCCCCGCGGCACCCGCACATTACCGCTTAATAACGGGCTCGGACTCGCGCTGGCACTTTCTTCTTCAATTATGTCACTCCGCCGCGGCCGCACGGCAACCGTCACTTTCCGTCTCGCGGCGCGATGATAGTGACATTAACCCTCTCTCAGCGCTGATTGTGAGTTATTTTCGACACTTTGCCAGCGGTCAGGTAATCCTCGCCGTGAAATTGCCGCTCGCGGCAAATAAAGGAGAGATCAAGTTAGACACACGAAGGGCGATCGTTACTTTTGCATATATATATCTCGAGAACGAGAAAATCGATTCCTTTATCGAATAGTATAAAATTGATTTGCAGCGGGCATTAAAGCCGGCTCGTTGATCTCGACCCGTTGTAAACAATACAGCGAGACTCCGTTCACTAGTCACTATAAACTGTTGCCCGGGGCAACAGCGCGCAGTGAGAGATCGAGAATCACGAGACACCGTCGACGAGACACCGCGTCGAGCGTGCCGGTCGATCGTTCCTGCGTACTGTCGGCGGAGGCACTGTCAAGGCGATCGCCGTCGGCGTCGATCCGCTCGCGGGTTTGCCACTTTCCGCGTTACACTTTTCACACACGCGATCGATCATCCTCCTCCTCCCGCGATTGATCAGGGGCGGTAGCGCAAACGCGTTACGGCAAGACTATCGCGTATCTATCGATAATATTCTCGACGGTAAACACCGTTGCGTGAGCGAGCAGGCAAACATCTCTCCTCGGCGGCCCTTAAACTATTACGATCTACCGGCGGTGTATCCTGTGATGAACACTCGCGAGCGACGACTGTCTATACACGTGTGAGGCCGTATCTTATGGACTCTAAGCTATCAGGACCATCGATGATGTCCGCGATGGCGAGCAAGAGACGCTTACGATGAAGATCGTCTCTCGCGCGCGCGCGCAGCCGAGGTACTTTTCCGGACGTCCTGTTTTCCCGATGATGAACGTTGAATGGGGTCCTCTTCCTGTTTCGTTTTCGAATGCCACCCGAGAGACGTTCGAGGATAGATGGTTCCGATGGACGTGCGATCGACGAACGATGAATCCCGCTCGGTTAACCGAGAGTTTGCTCTCTCCTCTCTCTCTTTCTCTGTATCTCCTGACGCGAAGGCAGTTATCTCCCGTGGGGTTCGATCCCCGTGGCGTTTATGATTTACCGGTGCAGCCGGCTTTCTTTCGCCGTTTCTTACGCGAAGCCTCGCGAGATATATCTCGTACGGCGCGGGCGCTTTTATTGCTTTATGCCGAGCCGTGCGCGCGGGCCGCGGGGTGCCTTTGGACGCCTCGATAACTGGGTCTGAGCTGCATCCTGGTAGCCATACGAACAGGACCTACCGTATCCCGCGAGGAGAGGCGAAGGCCAGAGAGAGAGGTTGGAGAGAGATCCCGCGGGGATATCCTTCAGACACCTTGTCGGCCGAGGTCGCGCTGCATCGCGGTGGTCTGAAAACAGACGGACAGGGCGATATAGTCAGAGTGTTCGCTATCGGGGTGCAGCCGCGTAGTCTGACCGCGGAAACACGTCGCTCTGCAAATCTACGGCGTGCTTCTTCGATGGACGTCATTACATTTATTTAATTGCAAAATTGTTCACTAATCCCGATAAAAGCGGAAGTACAATTGTGTTCTACGATGACATGCAATAAAAATAATCGCGCGTTTTCGAATTTACGTAGACGGACAAATTCGAATTCTACAATAATAAATAAAATAGATTGAATTAAGAAAAAAATATGAGAGACTCATTTTAGATATTTATTTTTGAAGATGTTTTAATTGTGCGTGAAAAGGGCACGAGCCGAGGGATGAACAAAGTATAAAAAATACCCAAAAGGAGAGTACTACAACTATCACCGCACGTTCAGTACCGATTTTCTTAAAGGCGACGATCGAATGGTCCAATTTGCCCGACTACCTTCTGGTAGTCTCACGGAGGAACGCGCGCACCTTTTGAAGAGGATCCGATCGGATCGGCGGACGCGAAGTCACTGACGCCCGGCTCGAACTGAGTGGAGTGTAAGAGGTCCATCGGCACCAAGAGCCGCACGCACACACTCGTCCGGCCGGTCGTGTAGCTGCGCCGCGCTGCTGGTATATCGTGTGCCACCACCTCTACTCAGCCTCGCTGTCAGTGCCAGCAGTACCTGAGCCTCGCCCGCGGAGTCCTCCGTAACGCCGCGCCGGTTAACAGAATACGAGCGCCTCGTCCGACCTACGTGGACGTGGGTTTATTCAATATGGGTCCTATTGTTGCTCGCTGAGAGGAGCTGTTACCCCACAGGAGCGCGCGCACCGCCCTCGATACTCTCTTCCTGCCTAGGAGCCCCGTAATAATCGCCCTCGTGGTAGCCTGAGTCAGTCTCTCTCTCTTTGCTGTATGCACAGCAACGACGAGGCACGAGGAGCTGACAATTGCGGCGTGCTGAGATTAAATGGCAGCTGATCAGATCGTGGATCTGGGATCAGAAGCTATACCTCCCTAGAGAGGCGCACAGATCAATCTTAGAGAGGAAAGAAGGAAGGAAGGAAGGAAGGAAGGATGGATGGAGGCGGGTTTGCGATCGTTGTGAGCTTTGTTAGATCGTCTCTGTTTAAGTTTATATACGCATATGCCAACTCTCTTTAATATTAAAGATAGACGTTTGACTACCCTTCGAGTTTTTCCTCTGAGTTACTTGAAAGCTAATTTCATCTTCAATACTAAATTTTAAAAACACTTTATTCTCTTCGAACGCGGTCACGTGTTTATCACGCTCGGGAATTCAACCGCGTCCCGCTCAGAACAGAAGTGCATCCGCGCCACAAGAAATGACGCGCGCTTTCGCAAAAGACAAACCCCATCTGTGACTGAAATGTTACACATGCGAACTTCCTTATACGGCTGTACTTAAATAAAACGAGCCCAGCATAGTTCCTATATTTGGTAACACTCGTACGAGATTCAGCGACGACGATATCGCGCGTGATAACCTTCCTCTTGCGCGCGCAACTTTGAATTTACACATCGCATCTCAATGCGATCCGCTCGCGCGCTCCGACATCGCGAATAAGATCGTAAAAATTACGGGCAAATCGATGATTTCCGAGTGGGTGGAAAGTGGAACGACCTTGGCTTTAATTTTTGTCGAGCGTACATTACTGACGCGAACGTCCGACGCGTTACATCATTACCGGTTTCTCTTTCTTTTTCTCTCTCATACACCGTATAGTCCTTTTTATGGAAATCTCTCAAGCCGCGTGTACAATGAGAGTCTTAAGTCTTGTAACATTCACTAGACTTAATCTTTAATCCTATTAGGCAAATTAGGACGTGTGTTTGTATGAATAGAAATGAATAGGAAAGAAATAAAAAAAGTTAAAGATACATAAATCGGTCTTTGATTTTTGACACATTATTGACAGAGACATATTAGTTCGTTTTGTTGCCTGACTGTTATTGACGACTTGCTGAACTTGTCACTGTTCTGGTGACAAGTTAACTCGTTTTTTTTTCTTGTAGGATTTGTAATTGTTTATCTTTTATTAAATGTCATGATTTGTTTTTTTTTATGTTTATACATTATAAATGAAATTTTATTTCCATTAAATTATATAAAAAATAATTGGCATTTCTGTATAAAACGTCCGCTCAACAAGATGTTAATAAGAATTCGGAATTTTATATAAAATTAATTTTTATCAATATCTTTAAATTTGTCCATTTCTAAGAAACTTCGTCTCGAGCCTTCCGTTCATCGATCTTCCTGCACATTACGCGACTATCAGTGTTACGCCAAGCGAGAAACATCACGGCAATTACACACGAGGGCACGATCATTTTGCCGGTTGACAGACGAAAGAAATCGCCGGTCCGTTACTGTTAAATTCGCGGACGAAAGCGTTACGCAATGCGGATACGCAAGTCCCGTCGCCGCGTTTTCGTGTGATCTAACCGTCGTCACTAGCGATCTAATCGTCATCGTCATCGTCGATTCTCATTTCACCGCGGTTTGCGAAGCGTCGCCGGATTTCGATCCGATCGTTAAGCAAGCAAGCAAGCAAGCGCGAATTTCCGTCTAAGTTCTGGGAATACCGCGAACGGAGATTGTCGCTGCAATTTACCGTCGTAGTTGTGTTCTGAGGGATGTAACGGTCCCCCGCGATATTCGCGAAATACAACGAGAATCCGTATTATAGTTACTCCATCTACGATAACATCAAATCCGTCGGTGTGGGTTGCGGCAAATTCTCACACGATCGCGTTACGCGGATTAACGAGCAAATAGCTTGCTAATAGCGGGACGCAAATGATACGTGTGCCGCGCCGCGCCGCGCTATCGGATGAGAATTTCGCAAAAATCACTGAATATTGCGCGAGCAGCCGAGCGTACAAGAGAATGCCATTTGAAGCTGCTAACAAGATCGAAGGAGTAGCGAAAGTTCCTGAAAAAGTTGCACCACAAAGTGGTGCGTATCTCGTTGATATAACATGTCACAATCGCTGCAACCTGTGTCGCGGTTTTTTCGCATCCTGTTGAACGAGTATTTTTTCCTCTCTCTTTCTAATGGACCTCCAATAATAATTAAATTTAATTTAATTGTTTACTTTAATTTTCAATTGGAATCCCTCGCAAAATTCTCTCAATTTCGATCCCGTTTTGAATAAATCATTTCTACATTCTGTTCCCACGAAGATTACAATTGTACACTTGATTCACGATTCGCTTTACTCGCTGTTCGTCCCGTAGCAATGCAAAAAGATGTAAGTACGGATGTTACAACTGTTATCAAAATGACAATATTATTGCGATGACGGCTGAATGGGATTAGAAGCTGAATCAGATTTTAAACTAAGCAGTTGTTTGCTGACTCACTTCCACACTCATTTCAATTTACTCCACTAACTCCTGAAGTCGTCAAGAAGAGCGGCTGCTCTTCCGCGCAATCATACTTCCTTGTATTACCTTGCAGCGCGAGTTTTTTACCTCAATCTGACTCATCTTCCAATTCTCTGTAATCCATCACTATCGCCTATTTTTATATTAACACATCGAAATGATGACTCTTCGGCCTATCAAGATTTCCCCGACACGTCTTACCCGCGTCTCTCTGTGTTCTCGATGAAAAGATAGCGAGAAAGGATCCCTTTAACGAGATCGAAATTACAGCAACGAGATCATTTCCTGGTTTCATTTGGCGCGATATTACGTCGCGAGGGGTGGCACGGCGCGCGGTGTAGCGCGCGTATGCGAAACACGCCGAGCTCATTAATGCCATCGGCGCGAATCCGTTTAATTCTATATTTATCGTGAGCGCGTTTAGTTAGAGCAGCAGTACGTACGAGCAGATAGTAGTAGTAGTAGTAGTAGTATTCGTACCGATCTGTGGAAAGGATCAGTCAAGGCGAGCCGGAGGGTCCATCGGCGAGGAGATCTCCGCGAAGCGATCTTTTCCCACGACGCGGCGCGGCGGGGCGACGGATGCGTCCGAGGAGCGCGGCCTTGCAGCGGCCTCGCAAGGACAAGGCCGCCATTTTCGACGCAAGGGCGCGAACAATTATTATTATACCGATGTATGTGTGTGTGTGTGTGTGTGTATGTGTGTGCGTGTAAAATGTAGAAATGTTGGCTATATACGCCAAGCCAGGGTGTGGCTCCGCTGCACTGAGGAAACAAAGCTCTCCCCGCGTCTAACCGCGCGCTTACGGCGAGCCCAAGATCAAGGGAAACGCTGCAACACACTGATGCGAGGCGCGCGATTATGCACTTTTACGGGGCCGCAAGGTCGGGGGGGCCGACGCGGGAATCGTAATCGGGCGCGTTTGTTTCGCGCGCTCGCACACGCGCGCGCGGGGATTCTTCGGGCGAGTGTCCTTTGCACTGTCACGTTCCGAAAGCGGAACGCCGCGCAGGAACTTAAATTGAAAGGAACTTAAATTGAAAGTTCGTGTCCGTGCCGAGCTTCCCCCGTCGATCCGAGCGCATACTCGTCGTTCAAGGGAGGCGCGAAAACGCGAAAAAACGGCGCTCTTGTCCTGTACGCAAATGATACATTATAGAACAATACTGAAGCAACGGATGAAAATCTTGGATCTAGCTTCCCCCATTTCCCGTCGGGAAAGAATAAAACGTGAGTTATTTGAAAAGTAAGATCCTGCTATTCAGAAATAATGACTGCACTTTCTTTGAAGCGCGATACAAAGGAGAGTCATCGGTCAAGCCTGACGCGTCAGCTTGACGGGCTATCGCGGAATTCCGGCGTGCGATATTGACTTTCTCGGGGCCGGTCGTGGAATCGCGATGCATCATCGTCATCGCATCTGCTGGGCCGCGCCGCGCCGCGCCGCACCGTGCCGCGCGGCGAAGGTGCAATCGGCACTTAAGCGTGACACTAATGAGCGCCGGCGATGCAACCGGTCGTCTCCCAGGGGCTGTCTCGCTGTAATTGGTTAGTTAGCACATTTATTTTATATGAAACGCCCGCTGAAAAATGCGAAGCACGTGCGTCCTAATTGGGAACGGCTCCGGCGTGGCTCCGGAACGGTCCGGCTTGGCCTGGCCTAGCACGGCTCGGCTCGGCTCGGCTCGGCCCGGCTCAGCGCAGCCGCGGCGCGGCGGCGGCGTGCCGATCGATGCCCGCGATATCGATTGTCGGATCGTTGACAGGCATGACCGAGTAACGCTGCCCTCGGAGAGCAGGCTATGAACAGCCGAGTCATTTTCATGGCTAGGAGGAGCGGGCATCTGCGAGGAGATGCCCGCGGGAGATGCGCGGACAGCGCGTAATAAACCATTAGCAACTACCGCCCGATTGTATCTCTAATCTTAATCCGTGCGAATTTTCTGATGCGCGCGTTAGCTCGACGAAGTGGCCTTTATCGACCGTGGGACGCCGTGAGCCTTGGCTAACTAACGTTTAGCGCGTAATTATAACGATTTTGATCCTTCCTCTTCCCCCCCCCGCGCCCCCTCCCAAGTCAAGTGTCGTAAAGTACAGCGGAATAATCACGCGGTGAAT